TGTATTTATTTATGCATACAAGAACTGGGGTGCAGGACAGAGGTGCAGGGCTAAGAGGATTCACCAGAGACAGTGGGGAGCAGAATAGGTGGATGGATTAAAATACACTGCTGAGGGGGGCAGCGGGGAGATGGGAGAGGTCTGCTGCACCCTATGGGTCACCTCCCTGGCCGGGCTTCGAACTCATGCTGTAGTGGCTGCAGATAGCTTCATAATGCTGCTAATTAATCTGTTGCACCACCAGGGAGGCCTCTGTGTGTTTCTATTACCTCACAACAAACTTTGCCTTGATAAACAATCAAAGTGGATTTTCTTGGGGAAACTTAATTCAAGTCAGTCAGTGAACTAGAAATTCATGGGTCAGGTCTTTTCATTCCTGTTTATCAAATGCATCTCCCCTGATAATAGGTTCACACTACAGCAAATACATAAAATGTAGAGCAGCTTCAGAACAGAGCACTTGATGAGCTTCGGCATCTGCATGCTAGAATGGCTGACAAGTGGCGTAAGAGATTCACTTGCTCTCAACTAACAGCTTCTGAGAGATCACTTAACGCTGAACTCCTGGCTCTAGTGAAACGTTCTTCTTTGGGTGGAGCAGTTCTCTAAATGGCTGGTCCTCAGCTGGTGTCCTCCTCATGGCTGGGAACTTGTTAGAAATGCAGATTCTTGACTCCTGTCCCAGACTCACTGAATTGGAAACTTTGTATGGGACCGAGCCATCTGTGTTTTACCAAGCCATGTCAGAATAGACATGCCCTAAATTTGAGAACCTCAGTATGGGAACACTGAGATCAGGGTGAGTTTCACATCTGTCTGGTTCTGTTAAGGCGAAAATGAGGTAAACCAGTTGCCAGCTTCCTACCACTCCTGACTGTTGAGACAATTGAGTTGGGAGAGCATTAAAGATCTAAAGGCTCTTTATTAGATATCAGATTTTGGCCGTAGGTGGTTTTAGGAGATTTTTGGACCGGGATTTATCTGTGGGATGTTGTCAGCATTCTCCTGATCACTGGTGGTTGTAAACTCAGAGTATTGGTGGCACATGAATGTTAAACTTCCTCAGTCCCTGGATACCTTTAAAGATAATTAAGTACTTTGACAGCAGAAGCCTGTTGGTATCTAAAGTTTCCACTGATTGGTTGTTTTTCATTGATGAATCCTAAGGGTTAAACTTTTGCAAAATTGTTTGCTTATAAAGAAAACCTTTGTTTTTTTCAACCCTCTTTCCTCATAGGCGGTTTGGAATAATGGGACTCTACAAAGGCCTGGAAGCCAAACTGCTACAGACCGTGCTCACGGCTGCTCTCATGTTCCTTGTTTATGAGAAACTGACGGCTGCCACCTTCACAGTCATGGGGCTGAAGAGCTCGCACAAGCACTGAGCACACCTGGGGGGGCTACCTCCTGCGTGAAGAGAATTGGTTCTCCTTTTGCCCTCGTTCCTTCCATCTTGAACTTTACCCTCACTGGCTTGAAACAGCTTCTAAGGGTAAATACGGAGGATAGCCAGCTGGACCTGTGGCCAACTTCATTTTATGCTGGTTGGTTAAGTTATGTGGGGGAGGTTGGACTAAAGGTCATATGAAAAGAAAACATTGAAAATCTAAAACTGAAAGTCACAGGGGTCATTGGTTTCCTTACAGGGAATGAGCTCTAGCTGTTGTGTGTAATTGCTCCAGTTGAAGTCTTTCTTAAAGTTACAGGCTGTTCTTTCCCTGAACCCACGCCCAGGTTTCAGGACAAATTGAATATCCTGCAGTTCTCCTCATACACTTTTGTATGTCGCAGTCTTGGCATTTTCCTCTCTAAAGCTGTTGTGACTGTGCCATGGATATGACTTTATTTTCATTGGGCTTTTTTCCTCTTAAGTAAAGGTGTCTTCTTTAGTAGATGAGCTATTTATTTTGTGGGGGAAATGAAAATTATTTATCTCCAATGATTTTCTTATAAACGATTGATGTACATCATTTATACATTAGTTTTGACATAATTTTGAAATATTTATTTTGAATCAGCCCTTTCATTACAAAACTTGAGACTTTATGTTCATCCAACCAAGCTCCAATAAACTATCAACACAAAGACATTCTTAAAAGTTGCTCTTTATTAAGATGTTACCTTGAGTTTATAACCAGCTGGTAAAAATCACAGAAGGGAGAGGGCACAGATACCTTGTTTAGGCTCTAACTATTCTGTCCCCTTACAAACTCCATGTGGTGGCTAAACATTTTGAGAGTAAACACCTGGTTGAAGTTATTTCGACTTGGAAACACGGCTTACGTCCTGCTACTTGAAGTGTAGTGTATTGACGTCACCTGGGAGCTTGTTGGAAGTGCATCTTAACAAGACCCCAGATGATCCACACTCACATTAAAGTTCGAGAGACCTTAGAACCCCTCACCCAGTAGGAGATACCTTGTGATTGGTTTCAATTACAGAAATTACCAGCACAAAGATTTTTCTTAAAGAAAAGACAATAAAATAGTCAAGCCTTCTGAAAACCTGGGATTCTTACATGGTTCTAGACTTCCCCCTCAGCACATATTAAGGGGTAGTTCTTTCATTGTGTTGGTAGGTATGCATCCAAACACCTCACCCCACTCAAAAAGCAAAATTATCTTGACATAAGAACAGCTCTTTGGCTTCCTATGACTCAGATTTTGTTCCTATAACAAAATGATAGGTTTAATATTTATTTTATTTATACACATAAGAGGTGAGGTATTGGTCAGAGCTGGGGGGTGGTGAGAAGATTCACCAGAGACAGAGTGGGGAGCAGATCAGGCAGATCTGTTGAATCACACTGCTGAGGGGAACAGCAGGCGCGTGAGGAGAGGTCTGCTGTGCCATGTGGGTCAGCTCCCTGGCTGGGTATCGAACTCATGCTGCAGTGGCTGTGGCTAGCTTTATAGTCCTGAGACTTAACCCTTGCACCACCAGGGAGGGCCCGGGTTTTTCATATATAGTAGTAACTCAGTCTGCATCAGGTAATATAGTCAAGTGTCTGCAGACTCCAGCATTTAGTTCACTTTTAAAAGTGGAAATGTTTCCTCTTATTTCCCCTTTGGTCCCTGTGGCATTTTCAAAATAAGTCATTATCAGACTAATAATCATTGAAAGGTTGTTGTTTTCTTCTTGGGAACAAGAATTAGGAGGAGCTGATCATGTGCGGGGACTAGCCTGAACACTTGGCCCTAATTAAGCCGGAAAAATGGCCCCATTCCTACTTCTTATTTTCTTTAAAATAAGGTGGGGAAGTGGACTTGGGTGGCACGCATCAGAACGCTCTGAGTGCTGTACAGAAGAATCATAGTGGTGTCCGGTGTGCTTTTGTTACTCTTTCTATTATGCTGTTTACTTGAGAATCTGAATTTTGAGCTCAGGATATTTATGGGTCGGTATGTTAGAGCAACTTCCAGGTCAAATTATGTAGCTATTTTAGGTGTTTATGATGTGAAATGAAAGTGTGCTTCATGCTTCTTTTTCTGGCTTTGAGGGAATGGTTTTATGTTCCCTATGGAAGTACATAGAGTCATGCTCAAAACTAGGTAATGACTCAATTCTGTTTTGTCATCCTTCTTTAATAATAAGTTACTTGAGAAAACCAAAATGCTACAGTCTATATTATGAAAATGGAATTTTTTTCTTTTTGATTCTTTCTGCAGTTTGTCTAGAACGTGAGGATTAAGAGCCTTAGAGATTATAATCATGTTTCTGCAATGGAAAATTTAATTTTTGTAAGTATTTAATCTGTGTTTTGAAGTGGACACTAATATTCTATCCTTGTTTATTTTACACATAAGTTTGAAATGCAGGAAAGGATTTACCATAAGAACATGAGCAATGGGAGTTAGAACCTTGGGTTTTATTCCCAGCCCTACCACTGAGTAGCACATTACGTCACCCCCTTGTGCTTCAGCTTTTTGATAAGTGGAGATAATAATTCTCACTACCCACTTCAGAGGATGTTTGGGGGCTAATGATGTCAGCTGAATCCCTTTATGGTTGTGGGAGAGGGACTGTCTGAGTGAAGCTTATGACAGTGCCTAGATTTATGTAGCAATTTCCTTTAAAGTTTGTGTGTTTTCTCGGTTTATAATTCCAATATCTCTGGGAACTAGGGAGAGATGAACACTACCTCCCCACTTAATTAACAAAGAGATTGAGACAAAACTATCAGTGACTTCCTGGTTGGAGCCAGGACTAGAATTAAGTTTCCTGTAGTCTCGTGTGATTGAGAGTCCGTGTTCTGGAACTAGACCAGACCAGGTTCTCTGGCCCTACTGTGTACCAGTTGCGGAAACACAACAGTTACTGGACTGGTATAAAACTCAGTTTCCTAAATTCAGCAACTCAATTTCCTTAGCTGTGAAATAAAGACCTTGCTCAGCCTGCATGGGGCCGTGGTGTGGATTGGATACCATCTATGTACATCAGTTGCTAGCAGTGCTTGCCACATGAGAAAGGCTGAAAAGCATTAGCGATGGCTGTTATAACAGGATTATTGATGAAGTCTATGACTGTTAGTGTAAGTGATTGTGACCCTGTCGGGCTTGTCACTACAAAAATGAAAGGGCCCTGGGTTAATGTTGACATTGGTGGGTGGAGCAGCTGAAAGGTGTTCAGAGAAATTTATTGAACAAAATACTTTTCTGTGGGCTGGTGAAGAAAAGAAAGTTGCTATTTAAAAGAGAGAGTAGAAAGGAAACTAGAAGATAAATATAAAGGACAGGGAGGGACTGACAAGACACCAATACCCCTCCATCCCTCAAAGAAGGCATCCTCACAGGATGTGTGACCATTGCGCAGATGGGCAGAGAACCCTGGAATCCAGTCAGTGAGATCCAATTTGTAATAACATGAAAAGAGAAAGAAAGCTGGGCTTGGAACGGATCTTGAGAATGGGTAATAGAAGTTCTCTGCATTGGGGCCTACTAAATGGTTTGTGTATATCTTGATATCCTCGTTATGACTCAAAATCTAGGAGTTCATTTCCATTAACAGATGAAGTAGTTGAGGGTAAAGGAGGATGTAACTATGAGCACATAGTTTTAATGAATGGGGGTCCAGACTTAAAATGTAAGTCAACTCTGCATCCCACAGATGCCCTTAAAAATAAGCCTTCCAAGGCAGGCCTGAGTTGGGTCATTCCATGCTTGGTCTCCTTTTACAACCTAGATGGACGTAAGATTGAAGATGCATAATTCTTTGTGCGGTGACCCAGCTGCACCCCCACTGTCACCCCACAAGATTCAAGGGAAGTTTGTGGGCCCTGTTTCCAAGGATGGCTCTGTGAATCCATGCTGTCTGGCCCCCGTGCCTGTGTTCATGCTTTCTGGTACACCTCTTCGTATTGTTATGGGTGATATTTCTGCCCAGATCAATTATCAGCTGTTCTGGATCCCTTTCTGTAAATTTGCTGCCCCCAATCCACCCATCCCAGAGTCCTTTTGTACTCTTAAAATATTTTGTGCATGTGTCCACATCACGTCTACGTTTATTTAAATTGTATTTGGAATTGCAGTCGTCTGTATCTTGTCTTCCCCAGAGAACGAGTTCTTTCAGGGCAGGACATTAGTCTCAGGTAGCAGAACAGCACACAGTGGTCACCTGGTTGTTACACAAGTGTTTTTGGCTAAAGACATTGCTGATGGCTCCATCTAATCAAATGAATATGATAATCATGGATTATGAATATTTTCTAAATTCCTGCACTCTGCTGATTTTTGGTTACTGATTTATCAGTCTTTCAGATTTCTTGTATTCATTAGTTCAGTTTTTTTTTTGAAGTATATTTTGCTTCTCAGTTGTCTTTTATTAATCTTTAAGGAAATTCTTTGTTTCTTTGCTCTAACTGGAGTCACCAGTATTAACCACCTGAGCGGTATCATTTCTGTAGTTCGTTCATGTACTTCATTCTTGTTTTGCTTTAGTTTCTGTACAACTCCCTGGTGGAATAGGTGGCCAGCCAACAAAGTGACTCCCTACAGAGGGCCTTATAAATTGCACATTCTTGTTCCAAGAACAGCCTTTATTCAAGGAATCATTTTGATTACCATATCTGAGTGTCTCTGTTCACGTGGGTGAGACATTGAATGTGAAAGTCTGCCGCTGACAGCTCCGAAAGAGTAGCCATGTAAATGTTCAGGAGCTGCTTGGAAGTGTGGAGAGGCCAGGTCTTCCCACACACTGTCTGGTCAGATGGCGACACTGGAATTAGGAGCACACCAAGTAGTAGGTAGAGGACCTTCTTGACAGAGGAAGCAAAGAACATCTGCAGAGAGGAAGAAGATGGTGCTTTCTTATTTCCACATTGGTTGGGATTCAATTCAGAGCTCCCCATTCTAGATCTCCAAGTTGAACACATGTTGGGATGGGGAAGCAGGAAGGCCTCAGACCACTGAGTGCCCACAGCGGAGAGGTGATCCAGCCGCTGTCTGGCTTAACAGTTTTGTCTAGGTTGGTTCAGATCTCAGGAAAGAAGATGCGTTTCCTGTGTCCTGCAGACTTACACATCCAACTCTGAACATACTTTACAGATTTGACAGGAACCATTTAGTTTTCTCGCTGTACAGACTGGCTGAGAGCCATGCAGACTTCTGTGAACTTCTGTTACTGCCAGGGCCTGGACTTGCTCGCTGTCATGCAAGTTTACTTGGAAAATGGTTCAGAACCTGGTTGTGGCTAAATCCCTGAGCACTTTATCATGCATTTGTTAGTGTATTAAAAATTATAAAATCAGTGAGGACTTACAGGAAGGGGTTTTAAAATTGAGAAAGTTTTTATTTTTAAATTTGCAACTAGTTTAAAGGTTCTGACATTTACAGATTTTTTTTTCTTATGCATTAATTTTCTGTGTTGTGAGATTTATTTTAATTACTTCAATCCCGTATGGATGGGAAAATTGAGATGGCTCAGGTTGCAAAGCAAAGAACTGGGAGTGGAAAGCCTGCTGGTAATTCAGACCTGATATTCTATCCAGTACTCTATCACTGCCTTGTACTACTTGGTGGTATCTGTATTTTTCTATTGCGGTTTAAAATTTTGATTTTAGCTTTTTTTAGATAATATGTAATAATAAAAACT